TTTTTTTTGTTGTTGTTGTTATTTTCTCTATCTTTTTGGTAGTTTTCTCTAGATCAGAAGTTTTATCTTCTACATCAGAGATTCGATCTTCAGCATGGTCTAATCTACTTTTAATACTTTCAAGAGAGTTTTTGATTTCCTGTATTACAGACTTCACCTCTAATAGTTCCATCTTATTCTTTCTTAGTGTGCCTATTTCTTCCTTCATATCGTGGAAGGACTTTCTCATCTCCTGTAGTTCATTGTCTCTTTTCTGTTCCAGCTCATAGTATTTATTCCACATAAATGTTCTAAATTCTATCTAGGACATTTTTGTAACATCCTCTATTTTTTCAAGGAGAGGAAGGAAGTTACTGTGTTTTCTTGATGGAGACATATTTCCTGCTTTATTTAAACCTGAGGTTCTTCTTCTACTTCTAACCATTGGGAGATGTGTTCCCTTTGAAAAACCTTTTAAGAGAACTTTTCCTCAAATAGGAGCAAGTGTGTTTCCTTTTTGCTGTGGAATGATGACATCCAAAGTCTCTCTTCTATTGTGTTTAGCAATATGATCCAAGGAAAATTATTCTCTTCAGGTGTACAAAAAAAAGTATCTCCTTCTTTGCAGGTGGTTCAGTGAAAGGGAGGATCCCAGAGAGTCTTAAAATACTGGCTGACAGAGGGGTCTCTGGCTTGGGGGTCCCGGGGCTGAAGCTACGGGGGGCAGTCCTCCCTCGGAGTTCCTGGCCCAGGGGTCGAAAGATGAGAGTGGGGTGTCTGTAAGACTGAAGGCATTCTTGGCTGACAGAGGGGTCTCTGGCTTGGGGGTCCTGGGGCTGAAGCTACAGGAGGCAGTCCTCCCTCGGAATTCCTGGCCCAGGGGTCAAAAGATGGGAGTGGGATGTCTCTTACTTTTGTTTTTTAAGGGTTTTATTGGTTTTTGTTTGTTTGTTTGTTTTTGTGTGTGAACTGAGACTAGAACTATGATCAGCCATGTGGGAATCCAGTGACAAAACCACTAAGCCATCTGCTGGACCACAAGCCAACATGATTTTCAAGCCACCAGATCTAGGACTTGAACCTCATTCAATGCTTTAACCCCCATGCCATCTGCTGGCCCCCAATCTTTTGCTTTTAAACAGTCTTACAGGGAAGTTTCTTGGATAAGTACCAAAACAACTATTAGCTGAGGAAACTCAGTAGACTGATAAACCCAAATGACCACTTTGTTAAAAACAAAACAAAAAGCACCACAACTAATTCTCTTACAGAATTTTACTGTCAGTCAAACCAACGATTTTTATTGAACCCTCATGGACAGCTCCCAGTGGCTGCTGCGCTCTGCTTTATTGCTAACAGTAATGGTAGTACACAAAGTCCAATTTCTGGCTCTCCTCGAATGGCCCACTGCGTAAACCACATATCTCTGTGATTGTTTCCAGGTGTTCCTCAGCACCACTGGAGGGGCCTGGGTCATCAGCCGTGTCTTTGACTCAGGGTACCCATGGGACATGGTGTTCATGACGAGAATTCAGAACATGTTCAGAAATTCTCTCCCAACTCCACTTGTGTCATGGTTTATAGCAAGAAAGATGAATAGCTGGTTCAACCATGCAAATTACGGCTTAGTACCAGAAGACAGGTAAGTATAGCATGTCTGCCCAGGGCTGCTAGGAAGAAGGAGGCTGGACATTTTCAGCGGGACCTACAGGAATGTGGTTGAATATGAGGAAAGCTTCAAACAAATGTATTTAAGAATATAGCTAACTGTTCTTAAGTGCTCAGTAAGTGAAATTATGTTTTTACCTTGTCAATTAATTCTTTATGGTAATTATTATTATAATCTTCCTTTAACTGTGAAATAACTGAGGCTTAGAAAAATTTAGTCACTTGCTCAAGCTAATTTAGTAGCAAGTGAGTACTCTGTCCTCGGCAGGTTACTTATGCCTCAGCAGCAGTAATCCTAGGACAAAGGTTTGCCCACAGTCCTGCTGGCAAAAGTGACAGAAAGGGGGCAAATGAATCTTGTAGATGCCTTTCAACATGTCTTTAATGGCACTGCCTTTTTGCCCTGATCAAGATGACCTCGATTCAAGTCTGTCCTTTCAATTATAGCCTTTTGTTATACCATTAACAAAAGCAAAAATGTAGAAAGGAAGCCACTCTCAGCACCTCCTCCCACCATTTGACCAGTGTTCTTTCCATTTTACTTTTGTGCATTCACTGTAAGCCAAATCTGGCTCAGTTTGCACAAAATTGATTCATGAAGTGTCCTGTGAGTCTAGAGATACAGGGGAAAAAAAAGAGAAAGAGATAGTTCTAGGGACCAGCAAATGGGCATAATGGTCATGTTGCTGGTCTCCCATGTAGTCAACCATAGTCCAAGTCCCAGACCTGGTGACTTAAAGCTCATACTGGGTGTGTGCATGTGTGTTTCCAAAGTACTGAGAGGAGAATGGATAAGAAGTGATTGCAATGTGGCCATCCCCTCCTGGGGAGTGATTTCTTGCTTTCTGTCTCTATGTCTCTCCAGTGATCACATGTGTCCTATAGCAAAAATTTCTTTCTAATTAAAAAAAAATGATTCTGTCATTATTTTTCCATTTAAACACATGCATGCTTCCTAGGAGGAGTTGAGATTGGGAAGAGCTTCCTGTAATTCAGCTTTCAGCTATCTGTAGAATGCAGTGATAGTTACATCAACAAGAGAAATAAGCTAAAAGAAGCCCTGGCCTTCTCCTCAGGCTTCCAAACTCTAGTAAATGACAGGCATATTCATAACCCTTCTTGGCATTCACAAATCCCCTCCCTCTTTTCCCAAGACTGGCAACTCCTGTCCAGCATCTCTTGCCGAGTCCATTCTGGGAGAGCCCCAGAAGGAAGAGAGGAAGGTAAGGAGGAGGGAGGTCTGGCCACATTGTTCCCCGCAGGTCTCTTCCCTGTCCATGTTCTTGTCTAGGATTCAGCTGAGAGAGCCCATGCTAAATGATGAGCTTCCAGGCCGCATCATCACCGGGAAGGTGCTCATCAGGCCAAGCATTAAGGAGGTGAAGGAGAACTCAGTCCTATTTAGCAGCACCCCAGAGGAAGAGCCCACTGATATCATTGTCTTCGCCACTGGGTACACGTTTGTGTTCCACTTCCTGGATGAGTCTGTAGTGAAAGTGGAAGATGGCCAGGCCTCACTGTACAAGTATATCTTCCCTGCACATCTGCAAAAGCCAACCCTGGTTGTTATCAGCCTCATCAAGCCCTTGGACTCCATGATACCTACAGGACCTACAGGAGAGACACAGGCTCGATGGACTGTTCGAGTCCTGAAAGGTAAGCTTGTGAGAAACAGCAGGGCCCATGCTGCTGTGCTGCGTGATTTTGGACACTGGAAATTTCGAGTCCATTCCTCAGCTTGTATTTACAACAGCATAATCATTAAAAGCTGGACTGATTAGATTATTCACTGAATTATACTGTCATAATGTCTGTACCATTATCATCACAAATGATGAACCAGAGCTCAAAAATCATAAGCTGTGTCCACATGTTACTTTGAGGGAATAGACTGATAGACTAAATTAAAATTTAAAAGTGTAGTTAAATGAGTGGCAAAATTCAGCCAAACCAGCTGTAAGGTTCTGTCTTATCAAGGAGGGAGACGACAGGATGCTGATTTTCTCAGCCACTGGCGTTGGTGCCTGGGGCACGCTGCCACCAGCTCAGCTGCTGGCATCGCTGCTAGAGCAGGTGCATAGCAGGTACTAGAAATGATCGTCAGCAGTGAGACCTCTCTGTTCCTAAGGAAACACTGAAATCAATCATGAAATTGCATTTTTGGTTTGTTTATTTCGTAGGTGTGATTAAATTACCACCGCCAAGTGTCATGATAGAAGAAGCTAATGTGAGGAAAAAGAACAAGCCCAATGGGTAAGCTCCTTTTCTATCCTCCTTCCAGAATGAAAGCTGTAACAGGGAGGTAAGAAGCACACTACGGAAAAGAGGCATGCAAAACTCAGAAAAAGGAAACCCCAAACTAAAAACTGGGAGAACCTGTTTTATTTTAAGTCTTTCCCATAGGGAACTGTGCTTGCCAGAGAGAGAGAGAATGGGAGAAAGTGATAAATCACCCCTTGCGGGGATGGCCATGCCACAATCCCTTCTCCTCCATTCTCCTCCTGGGATGTTGGGCACGCGTGCACACACATGAAGAACCTGTATAAGAAGAGAGAAGGGAAAAGGCTATCAAGAAGGTGTGATCTCCCCCATTTACACAGTCAGCTGTAAATAACAGTTACCTAGTACCACATGGAGCTCAGATTCTGGACTAAGTAGCAGTAGCCCTCATCTGCCAGGTGCATCATCCTCTGCTGCTGCAATGCCTGCTCCCTCGCTCACCAGCGAGGGCTCTCCAGCTCTGTGGTTTCTACTCAGACTGCTGCTCTAGAACAGGGCTAGGCAAACTGCTGACTGTGGGCCAAACCCACCAACCTGGGTTTTGCTTTTATTTTCAAATGGTTGGGAGGGAGGAGAGAAAGAGGATTTTGCAATATATAAAAAGTATATGCAGTTCAAGTCATAGTGACCATACATAAAGTCTTATTAGGATATAGTCCCTCGGGAACCAGCAGTTAGCGTAATGGCTATGTCGCTGGATTCCCACGTAGTCGACCACGGTTCGCGTCCTGGACCCGGTGGCTTAAAACTCACGCTGGGCGTGTGTGCGTGCGTGCCCAAGATCCCGAGAGGAGAATGGAGGAGAAGGGATTGCAGCGTGACCATCCCCCCTGGGGGGTGATTTCTCGCTTTCTGTCTCTCTGTCTCTCTCTATCTGTCTGGCGAGCACACGCGCCCTATAGCGAAAACCTAAAAAAAAAAAAAAGATACAGTCCCACTTACTCATTTACATATGCAAGGTCTTCAAAAATTTCATGGAAAATGTGGATTATAAAAACTTCATGGATTTTAAATATTTTTTGCACTGAAATAAACTCATATTTTATGTCCATTTTTCAATGAGGTTTTCAATTCCCTTGTATTGTCAATGGCTGTTTTCGAGTTAGGACAGCAGAGTTGAGTAGTTGACATTGAAACTTAATATGACCCTCGCAGACTATAACATTTACTATTTAGCCCTTTGTAGAATAAATCTGATTACTTTTCTTTTCACAAGAGGTTTCTACTTGTGCTCTGCCCTTTGGCTCCTTAGATAATGGAAAAGAGGGGGCCTCTGAAAAAGGTAGCCTTGGGGCCAGTAGGTGGAATCGTAGCAAAGGCGCTGGATCCCACATGGCCAACTGTGGCTTCAGTCCAGGACCCGGTGGCTTGAAAATTATGCCAGGTGCGTGTGCATGTGTACCCAAAATTCCAGGAGGAGAATGGAGGAGAAGGGATTGTGGCATGGCTACCCCCAGGGGGCGATCTCTCACTTTCTTTCTCACTCACAGCCTCTCTCTGTCTCCCTACCACCAGCACATGTACCCTTTGCCAAAAACATAAATTGGAAAAGAAAAAGGAAAAAGAAAAAGGAAGTCTTGCTCCCATTCTCACTCCCAGTCCAGTCAATACCTCATTCCCCCAGAACGCACACTATAATTAACAGTTAACGGGAGCTACAGCTGATGTGCTCAAGTTCCAAACCCAGTCTTATCCACAGACCACAGCCGGCCCCTGGCAGCAAAAGGAAAGGCTGCCCAGTCCTCTGCAACTCTGCTTTTCTATTTTATCTGTTTTTGACTTTAATTTAAATTTTCACTTAAAAAAGAAAGGTTCTGTGGTAAGAAAAAAAGAAAAACAACTTTAAAACCATTTCACTTAAAGAGCTTGCGATTGCCTCCCTCATTCACATTTGTCCCCAAACTTCAAGTATCAATCGATCCTTGTCGAAGTGCCAAATTTAAAACTGTAGAAGCATTTTAGATGTCACTTCTTTACCCTCAACTTGGTTTTGATTTGGAACTTTGGTAAAAAGAAATAACGAAGTAGAACCACTACACCATGCAGAATCTTCTCATCATACAGGGAAGGCCACAGTTTTAGGCCATAAAACCAGCAATGCAGGGAATTCTACCTATGACTTCTTATGATGTTCCACATTCTACAAATCTATTATAGTAATAATTGAGTTTTATAAAGATTTGGTATTTTAAAAATATATTTTCTCTACAGTCGCTAATCATTTCACATAGGAACTGAAGCAACACTGGGGTGAATGAGCGTTCAGAGCAATGTGTAAGCCACATGTGCAGAGTATCTTTTCAAGGGACTTACGTTGTCTTTAAAGAATGGAATGAGACCATTGGATAGCTATGGGCATTCAGGGGAGAACACAGAAATGGGCCCAAATTTTGCATCAGCATTTGTTTGCTTTGGGTATTTTCACTTGTCACAAATGACCATTACTTTGTGTTTTTGTCTTCCCCTTCCCCCCAATCTTCCTTTGGTACAGGTTTGGCCTGCGCTACTGCAGGGCTCTGCAGTCAGATTACATCACATACATAGACAAGCTCCTGACTGACATCAACGCAAAGCCCAACCTGCTGTCTATGCTCCTAACAGACCCGCGTCTGGCTCTGACCGTCTTCTTCGGCCCGTGCACCCCTTACCAGTTCCACCTGACTGGCCCAGGGAGGTGGGAGGGAGCCAGAAATGCCATCCTGACCCAGTGGGACCGAACATTCAAGGTTACCAAAACTCGGATTGTGCAAGAACCCCCACCTCCTTTTGAAAGTTTACTTAAGCTCTTTAGCTTTCTGGCTTTGCTTGTGGCCATCTTCCTGGTTTTCCTGTAAGTGGGAGATTTCCTAAAAGGCATTTTCAGATGCACGGGGTAGATTTGCTGTGCTCTGATTTCTCTACTACAGCAGCAGTGCCTTCCAAGTCATAAGCACATCTGTCTGGAAAACAAAGCCACGGCAGTTTCCCCTGCTGGCCCCAGGCTCCTGCCAGTATTCCTGGACCTCTCCCAGCTCTACCCACGTCTAGTGCTGGAGGATGGGAGCTAGGTTTCTGTGGATTCAAAGGCTTCTGGAAGGATCCAAGTTCATTTGGGGAAGAGGGTAGTTCTAGACATAACTCTGAGAAGTTCACCTCATTCCCATATCAACTGTCTTTGTAGATCTCAATTAAATCAGTCTACTTCCTAAAAGATTGGACTGTACTCAAATGGTGCTTTTATTGGTTGAATAAAATTTTTTTAATTTATTAATTAATTTAATTTTTTCATTTCATTTTCTTCCATACATTCAATCATATTATTATTTGTCTTACAAA